CATTAAACCTGGAATATGTAAACAAAACAAGTGGTGTTACCCTGATAATCAGAAACCTTCTTAAACAGCAAGACATTGTTGTAAAAATATCTTACAGCAAAGAAGAAATGGCTCATTTTGCAAAAACTTAACTGAAAGAACAGACATAGATTTTTATCACACAATCAAGAATTTAATAGAGTTTTGGTATTTGGTTAAGAAACAGAGCAGAAGGCAACTTTGAACCTAGAAGCCTTGTGCATCAGATGAGGGATAAAATCTAAGCATTTAAAAAATTTGGGTGGAAATACTTTTAATAGCAACTATTATTAATTCAGTCACAACCTTAAAAGAGCCTTTGCCTTCTTCCCTCTACATTAGTCTCTATAAGACTAGAAAATTATTTCTACACAAACTTCCTGTATCCTGAGACGGCTAACTTATATAGTACAATCCATCCTTGAGCATTTTTATCCCATAATCTTTTTGCACCTGTAACTTCAAACGTAGGGAATGACAATGTCCCTTTATTTATTTATTTTTTTACTGGCATGTTCTGAGAATAAATAAATACATAGAATAAAAAACCAAGCTCATTACTTTGCAGTCTTTTACCCAAGGTGTTCTTTTGTGGTCTCTATTTCATTTTCTTATACCCACCATATCAATGGCTGTACTGAGTTTCAATCAAATGTATTTTGTGCTGAAAGAAAAACACTTTCTTTTCCAGAGTTTTTAAAAAATATGTATAAATATCCATGAACATACATTTACTCATAGGTTTATTTATATTCTTGTTAGTCAATGTATCTCTTTAAGAGTTAAGGCAAATCAATGTTTGAATTATTTTCTCTTCTGGTACAAACTCACACTCTGCCTCTTCAGAGGATTCTATTTTCATGTGTTTAGAAGAGTTGATTAAATATTTTTTTATTAGAAAAAATAAGAGAATATAAAAGGGCTTTTAAAGTGAAAAAGTTGTATTTCATGATTATCACAATAGAGAAGGTTAAGGTTCAGTTATTAAATTGGTGAGCAGAGTAGTCTAAATCTTTTTTCTTCTTTGAAAATTGTGAAAAACCCCAGGCCACATGGACACTGACAAGACTAGGTCCTCTGCAGAGGCCGAGGTTCCTGGCATGTGTGGTTTTGTTCTCTGGCCAGCAGGCAGGAGGCATGGGCCTGATAAAATTTGCCAGGCAAGGGTACTTGCTTTTGGATTCCTCCCTAAATCAAACACCACAGGACACGTGCTGGAACCACTTAAATGCTGAAACTTGGCTCTCTTCATAAAGGGAAAGTTGCTTTAAACGTACACTACTGATGGATTTCAGAACATACCTGCATTCAGCAGTTTGAATGTTTGGACTGAGAATCAGGAACTTTGGGGTTTGGTTGCCAGATCCACCAGAGCTTTGCTTTACAACTTGAGGAATGTCAGCAAGTATCCTACTGGTCATTTTCTAAATCTGTTACATGGAAATATTAAACTTTACTTGTAATTTGATATCCAAAAAGTTAATAGAAACCTGTAAAAGTTACAAGCAAAGTGCTCAGAGAGCTTTCATGGGAAGGCAATTTCAAAACACCAAATAGAATTAATAAAGTCTTGTATAGTCTTAAAATTTAGAAATATTTTCTAAGCATTTTCTATCTTTTATCTGATTTTTTTTTTACTACCTCTGCCTCCAATTCCCATATTTGAGATGTGATATATTTTAGAACTCACATATAGACCTAAAAAAAAATCAGTATTTGGGTTGTTTATAATAGAAAAAAATTGTAAAATAAGTGTCTGAAAACAAATTACCAATCAAATTAAGTGTTCTCAGAGCAAGTGATTTCTTCTCTTAATCGAGGTCTTACTCTAACATTTTTGAGTTGCTTAGGAGAGTGGAAAAGGCACTGGATTGAGCAGGTCACTTGAGTTCTGTCCAGGCTCCGTTACCATACAGAAGAGTAGGACCATGTTCCTGTGGGGCTCTTTCCGCCCCCGCTCTGTGTTATCATGCTCAGAAGGGCAGAACTCATATCTGCATAGTTGCCTCCTTCAAAGATCTACTGACAGGTCACTCACTGGGAAACACATTCTTATCTGATTAAGTGAGGTGATACAAATTCATTAAAATAAAGGTCACCAAATGGGATTCACAAATGAGGGGTAGTTCTCTTGATAAGTTTGGACATCTCATCTGTGTTGACATAAATACCCTAATCATTATATACTATGATATCAGAGTCCAGAGAGAAGGCAAAAGTAACTGACTTTTGTCTAAAAGTGCATCAAAAGTTTACAAATGTGGCTTTTAACATGCACTGATGTGCTTTAATTCATGACCTGTTGGGCATTTTTAAAGATTTTGCAAGTGAAAACAGCATTTTTGACTACTAAATGTTTTAGATGAAGAACTTGTATAGCTGGGAAGAAAATGGATTTTAGGATCAGATGAACCTGAGTTCAAATCTTGATTCAGTTATGCATCATCTCGGACAGTTATTTAAGTTCTCTGATGCTCAGTTACTCATCTCTAAAATGGGGGCAATAATACCTCGTACTTTGGGAAACTACACAAATTAGAATATAGGGAAATCATCTGGCACATAATAAGTATTCAATAGCTACAAGCAACATTTTAAGAGTAAAATGCATTTTTCTTCTGATGTCTTACTGGTATGCTAGGAATACCTAGCTGAACTTACAGGGATAGCTGTGATTGTCATCTGCTGGCTCACTCTGCATGCCTAGCCTTGGTACTTATCTGATGGATGAATAAATGTCAGTGTAAATAAATATTTAGGCTGAGCAATTATAATGACAGTACATTCAGTTGACACAGTTTACTGTGTATCAAAAAGAAACATGGCATTAGAGACTTCTTCAATATTCAACTCATCAAGAGAGATACATTAATTAGTAAATCTACCCATTTTCACAACCCGCTGCACATCAGATTTGTGTACATTAATTAGAATTTAATTTTATTAGGTTTAATATTTTAAAAATTCTTACTGACCTAGATTTTCATCAAGTATATGCTTTCTGTTAGCTTACACATGATTGGTCACATCCATATCATTACTAGACATTTATTCTTGTCCCATTTAGCTATTTCTATGCTAACACTTTTCTCATTTAATAAATTTTTCAACCTGTGTGTTTGACACTCCCAGCACTGTCAATCCAGATCTGACGCTTTACAGAGGTTCATAGAACAAGAAAATACATGTCCAAGACTATATAAAATAAGTCTATAAACTTAACATTCAGAAGAAACAAAAATATAAATAAGTGTTGGTCTTTTCCATTATGGATGAACTGAAATACATCATTAATAAAACATATACACTTTGCAATATGAACTCAGACCTGAAACAAAGTAAGTTGAGGTAAGGGGTATTAATTATGTAAAGATATATATAATACAAGGAGACTAACAATGTCTCATCCAAATGACTGAAGGCATGCTTAATAAATATGGCATATCTTAAAATAGTTACGGATTTTATGTGGCTTTAATCTGCTAAAAGCATAAGATTAAATTTCACTCGTGTGGAATTATTTAAAAAGGAATATGAGTCATTGAAAAGTTGGAAGCCCCTTTGGAAGAAGGATCCTGTTAAACACATACAAAATAGTTTCATGAGATTCTTTAGACTAAGAATATCAAGAAGGCACTAATCGTTTCGATTATCTTCTCCATCGTATATTCTTTTTCACACAAGAGGGTCAATGAGTAGTTCTTCATTAAACACTGACATCCAGACATAGAACATAACACAAGTTGCGGAGGAGGGCAGGTGTAAGTAGTGACACCAGGAAGGAAAACACTGGATTTTACTATCAGCAACACAGACATGTAGGTTCTAATGCTTCTGCAGCCTGATGGTATATTACAGTCTACACATATCTACACAGTAGCTTATTAGTAAAAGCCCAGCAGTTTTCTCATCTCCAGTAGCAATCTGGTCTGCAGAGCCCGCCGTTTTCGTATCTGAGTAATACTGTCTCTACAATTACCTTTTGTTTCCTCCCTGTCATTTCCTACAAACCTCTCAAATCATTAGTGCTGGGTTCTGGGTATTCGTTCTAATATTTTCATGGTCAGATTATCTGATGTCTCAATGAATTTACCTCTTTAGTGCTTCTTTCCTGATTTTTATAACAATTTCTGATGATTCTATTGCACAAAACACAGTTCTTTCTAATGTGTCTACTTTTAAATAAATTTGTCTCCTTCATTATAGTGGATGAAGAGATATAATTAAATTTGGGTTCAAAACCTTAATGTCAATGGTAAAAATAATGGTTAACTTCTACAAGAAAATTGTAAAACAATTCCAAGATCAAAAATTCTGGAAATCAGGTTTTCAAGCCTTTTTTTATTAGAAAACTTAAATTATTACCTTTTTTTAAAAGGGAGGAGCCAATATCCATTTTTGAATTTTCTCAAACAAATAATAATAAAGGATAGCAAACTCGGATAAGAGAACACATTAGAAGGCAGCTTTCTACTTCATACAACTTCTAGTTACCTTTCCTATCCATTCACCTATTTCTGGTCAGCAGCAAGAACAAAAAAAAATCCATTTATTTTTTTCCTTTTTGGGTTTTCCAAGATGAGCGTCATTTACCTGAATACAAACAAAAGCTAGGGGAAACGGCTTTTATGTTGGCATAGACCAAGTAAGTACATGTCTCACGAACCGGGAAACCCTGCCTTCTATGGCTTCTTTTGCAGTTTAGAGTCCAATGGTTATATAACCAATTGAAAGTCAAACAAAATTCAAAATGACACAGATTGACAACAAATAACGGAAACACATGGAATCCCCTTGGTTGTTCTTTTTTTCTAATAGACAAATCCCTAGCATTCTGTAAATAAAGTTATAAATACTAAAGAAATGACAATTTCACAACAGGGAAAGGATCATTTCTTATCATAATAAATATTTTGGTACAAATTTTAAAAAACGTAGAAAAGTTTAGTACCTTGGGGTACTTTTCTCTAGTAAAACCATACCTGCTTCAGAACTTGTTTGATTATAGCTGCTAACAATGCTGTTTGGTATCACTGGAGTGGAGGACGTTGAGATTCTTGACTGAGGTGGATTGGGATGTAATGAATTTCCTAAAGCCACGCCCGACTGACTGAGCATCCCACAGTTCCCGCTAGCCTGAATCTGATTTATTAAACCTGCAAGATGGTGGTTTGGGACTGGACTGTTACTGTGGACAAAGTTAGTGTTTGCATTGTGGCAGTGCACGGCTTCCCCTCTCAAAGGTATGTTCTGTGTCAGTGAATTCTGAAGAGCACTGGAGTTCATATTGGGCTCTGTAAAATGCAGCTGGTTAGCAGAGCAAGGCAAAGCAGTATTTGAGCCCCCACAACCCGGGGTACTATTGCTACTCAAGTGAGAGCTTTGACAACTCATAGACTGTAGTAACTGAGACATTGAACTGATGGGAAAGGAACCCTGACCCTGCTTTCTCAGCAAGTCGGGTCCAGGCTTAGGAACTGCAGAACTATCCATTTGAGACTGTCTGAGCAAACTCAACACTGTGGTAGGTGGCTGTTTTCTTTTCCGCAATGAGTCTTTTTGCTGAGACATCAGCTTATCTCTTAGTGCTGCTCGACCACTTTGCCCTTCCCCTGTCGGGAGAAGCATGTTGGCAGTAGGAGGGAACATGGTGTTTAAAGTGCTATGTCCTTCAGTGTTGCTACTGCCAGCAACAGCTCCAGAATTGCTACTGCTGCTGCAGTTGTTACCAGCAAGTTTGTTTTGATTTGCTAGCTGTGCTTTGGCTGCTGCTGAGAGTAAACTACTTGCTGGAAAGGAGGCAGCATTGTGCTGGTTCAAGATCTGATTTAAAGGCATTCCCAGCAAACCAGGCTGACTCTTTACAGAACCACTTCCGGCAGATGCAGTAGGAAAAGCTGCACTGCTTGGGGTACTTAGTACATTACTCATTCCAGCAATTAATGGGTTAGGGATATCCTTGTACTGATGATGTCCATCGGACTTGGTAGAAGGGCTTGATGGCATTGATGGCCTTGGGGACCCTATCGTTGACCTTGGTGACCTGGGTGGAACCTTAATACCACTACAAGTGGCCTGGGGTCCTAGAGGTGGCATCATGAAATTTCCGTGATCTGATGATGTGGAAGATGAGCGTGATCTTTGGGGCGATGCCTCAATCCTTCCAATTCCAGTCCCCATCATGTGCACTGGGGATGTCACTGGAGAAGGGGACAGGGAGGTTGAAGCTGAATGCTGAACTCTTTGTATGTGACTCCCATGATTCATATGACCAGGTTTTACGGTTGGCAAAGGGAGATTACTTGGCAAAGGAACAACAGCAGGAGGCATGCTTACATTCATCACAGGTACCTGAGAGTGGACATTTGAATGGAAACTAGTTGGATTAATGATAACAGGGTTCTGATTCACCGGTTTACTAGGAATAGGGTCAAGAATGCCAAGTGGATCTTTCTCGGATGTTAATGGCTTTTTCTGAAGAGCACAAGAAGGTGGAGGAGGGGGAGGTGGGCCTTGGGGTGGTTTGTGGTGGAACATTGCTCGTGGTATTTCCATATTAGTTGAAAAATTACACATTGGTTTTTTCATTACTGGACTCTTTGTGGTCAAGGTTGGGGAAAGAGGTATATTAGTCCTTCCAGCCATTGCACAGGATGACTGTACAGGAGAACCATGTAGCATTACTGAAGGTGGAGAAAGAGGAGTCCTATTCAAATGAATAGGACTAGAATTGGGAGCTCCATGAAAACCAGGATTACTTCTTGTGAAAACATCTGGGCTTCCGAGTGGGTCAGTCCTTGGAGAGATTGAACCATCTCCATATATCTGGGAACCTGATGATGCTGGGCTGGGCAGGCCTCCGTGGCTGCCACGGAATGGAGATTTCTGTCCGTGTTCACTGCTGCCCAATCTCTGCCGGGGGTAGACAGGGTGGAGTTCTTGTTGCTGGCTTCCAGGCAATTCTTGTACATATAGCCTTCCCATGGCATTTGATGATCCAATCATTAACTTGAAAGGATTCTTACATTCAGGCATTACAGAATTTGTAATTCCTTCATGTGACTTATTTCTTACGGATCTTGGAGTTGCTGCCCGTGAAGGTACTACTGGAGTTGCATCTGATGTGAAAGACAAACAAAAATTCTGTTAGTTACTCTCAATTCTTTTGTGTTGGCATGGGGAGAGGGAAGGAAAGGAAGAACTGAGGAAGGGAAGGCATCTGGAAATAGAAGTTTGCAAATAGAAGCTGTGACTTTATGCAATTAAAAAAAAGTTCTATACTCTACAGTAAACTTCGATGGAAAAAATACACATTATTCTCCCTCAGTTGACCAAAGGTTCTCAATAACTGCTCATTATGTTTGTTTACTTCTTAACAGTTGAGGAAGGATGGGGAGCTGAATCAGTATATACTCACATTAGCCATTCTAACAATATTTATAACATGAAAAATCAAGATTGACAGCCTCTACGGAAATGGTGATGTTACTATCTTGTCGGATTTGAATTTTTTAGAAACAGCGTTACGATAGCAAATTATAATCTATATGGCATATTTTCTTATAATTTAAATGCATTGCTATTTTTTAAAAATTTAAATTCAATAAGCCAACATACAGTACATCATTGGTTTTTGGTGTAGTGTTCAATGATTTATTAGTTGTGTGTTGCATTGTTATATTCACCAGAAAATTTGTTACTCTATAAATGTTTCTGTTACCTTACTGAAACTTCCTCAGGACAGCAACGAAAACTCTTCCTTATCTCAACATTCTCACTGGGAGAGCAAAAGAGCCTTAACTCCAGTGAATTAAGTGAATAGGATTTTGATTCTTTTAAAATGGGAGTGATAACAATAGTAAGTGCTGTGATACCACAATCATGCTTAGCTTCATCAAGTCTGTAACAGTATAACATTGCAATCTCTTTGCCCTTGATCAGCCATTATTGTAAAAACAGCCTTAGTCAACCAACTTAGCTAAAAGATTGTGATTCTTTTATTAGGATAGAATTCCTATGCAAAATTTACTCAGAACGCTAAAATCTTCAGTACTGGGTTCCAATTGAGTATTCTCTTTTTACAGCAAGCTTTGCTCCCTCCCTGGCTTTTTGGAATCCCTTCAGTTCTTCTGGAGATCAGACAGAATATAGGCAACAAAAGCAAGCTGGCTCATCATACAGAATTTTCATTCTATCATGTCAGAATTCTAGGTTTAAGTTTTTTAGCCCCTGAGGATGTTTAACAATTTATAAATTTGTGCCTTCCAAAACAGAGATGGCAAATAAAATCAGCTTCATATATGCCAATTCCCATCAACTGGTGGTGGCTGCTTAGAGAGCTATATTGAAAGGATGTTGCACCCTGGCTGGGCTCTGTGAGAAAATGCCAGTGAGTCTGTTACAGGCACAGGTGAGGAAAGTGGTACCATTTATACTATATATTGCCCACTGGCAATATATTAGCAAGTATACTTGGGTTCACTTGCAATCTGAGGTATATTTACTTAAATGGATAATCACATACTTAAGATAAATATACTTCTCCTACCTGCTAGATAGTATACAGGTAAAATTATATCATAACAATTTCTAAGATGGTAGTTCTCAACCTGAGATATACAGAAGTCTAGGTAGGTTGCATTAAAGAAATAAAAGAATGAAGTGAACATATATTTTTCTTGGAAAAGTGGGCTTTCTGTTTCTGGTATGGTAGAGATTATTTGATAAGAGTGGTTTCTGCACATAATATATGAAAAGTTGAGAACCAATGACACAAGAGAATTGCAGAAGATAAACCTAAATGAACTTATTTTCTTATTAAAGACAGAATTTTAATATTTGGGGCATTGCACCTAGCATCTAGTGAGAGCACAGAACACATAATCATTAGCATTATTACATGATGAACTGTGTCCTTATTAGTAAGAAAACCATGGAGCTGTGGGGTTTTTTTGGTTATTTATATAATTATGTACAGTTCAATGCTTAAAAATATAGACACTGGCATTCTTATATTCAACAGAATTTAGAAAACAGCAGTTGTTTGGAAAGGATTTCTTCCATACATGGGGAAAAATTGTTACCATCTTTAAAATGACAGGAATACTGAATAAACAAACAAAAGTCATGCCGATGTTGTGTTACACTTATGAACTAAATTATTTCAAGAGTTGGCAAATGGAAATGCTGGGCACTCATCAAGTGCTTTCATGTATACTCAAGTAGACCTTCCAAAAGAATAGACAGAAACTAAATATACCTGCATGTATGTAAATAAAGAGGGATGAAAACTACTACCAGAGTCTCCTTAACTTTTATTTAAATCCCAACCCTATAATATAGTTTAATATTAGGAAATTAAAATAAATGCTGTGTCTGAAGCTAGTAAAAGGGTAGCAATTAATCCAATAAAGCATATCATTTTAAAAGGGGATGGAGATATGCATCTTATACCTATACTGGTTAAAGATTTACCTGTAATTTCAATAATGAAACTTGTATGTATAGAGTACAACAAAGGACCTAGATCAAGATTCTGTTAGGGTCATTAAAAAAGTGACAAGGCAGACTTTGCAGAAAGAGGTAAGTAAAATTGATATAATGTGATATGAGAATGACAGCAGATACATGCAAGGTAATATGCAAAATGAAAACATAGTTATATCAAGGTGGCAAGATAATGGTAAATGTCAAATAATTTATTACTATTAAATGTGTCTTTAAATTGTTGCAATATCTTTTAATTTAAAAAATGTAGCTCATTAGAAGAAAAAGAAAAATTCCCTAATTTTTTTTTCTTACATACCTCAGTGGAGCAATTTTTTCTGATCATTCCTGTTAAAGTTCAAAGGTTAGAGGGTTATTGAAGAGGAGCTCTCTGCTAAAAACTGCCAAATTTGTCTCTTCCTGCCCTTGTCACATGAGTTGTAAGTGTGACTCTTCAATTACCTGTATGATGTCACAACTGCTCCTTTTGTATCTAAAGCTGTTATTAATTTGGCCCCAACTTACCTACGCAAATTTAATCTATTCACTCAAGTCAGGTTAGTGTCCACATCATCTCTTAATTATGCTATACTCATACTGAATAAGAATTTTCTTATTTCCCTCATATGTCTAAATCTTACCATTTTCCAGGGCTGGTTCAAATCTGAGGTCTACCATAAAGCCTTCTCTGATCACTACAAGTTATACCCATTGTTCCTATTTTTTAGAACTCTGCAGAACAATATCACTTATTCTTCATAAACAAATGCTTTGGTGCTCAGCCATATTTTATCTTGAATTATTACTTAACCGTTAAGTTGATCGTAATATTTTGAAGCGAGTTCACATCCTAGCTCATACAAAAAGAAGTTCCTGAGTCTCAAAGTATAGTTCCACAAATTACATATTAGTTATAAAGGGAAAAGTTACCTTAACAATGGAGAAATTGGATATACATAACTTTAACCAAGGACTTAAGCTTAATGTCATCAATATGGGATAAATTGACATGTGCCTCCTAATGAGGACAACACATCACCTATGCAGTATTCTATCAAACTGTCTTTAACCTGAGTATAAAAAAAATATGAAGAAATAATCAGGCAAATCTAACTTGAGGAATATCTGTAAAACTGACCTGGACTCTTCAAAAATAGATTTTAAAAGACGGGGAAATTGGTGTAGGTTAAAGAAGTATAACAATTTAGTGCAGTTGTATAATCTTTGATTGCATCCTGGGTTTAAAAAATCGAAGAAACTATTAGGACAACTGGAATAATTGGAAATTATTAGGACAACTATTTTTTAATTATATACACTGCATTTTAGGTAATAAGTGTTAAATTTTTTGAATATGATAATTAGATCATGGTTTATATAGGTGAACATCCATGTGTACTGAAATGTTTAGGGATGAATTGTCATAATATTTGCAACTTTTGCCACAAAATGTTAATTGTCAAATCTAAGTGGAGGGTACTTGGGTGTTCAGTGAACTGTTTATGGAATTTTTCTGCAGCTTTGAAATTAAAAAAAAAATAAAAGCATGCATGCGTGTGTGTGGTTTCTGTGTGGTGGGGGTATGAAAAGTTTCTGATAAGGTGATATCTCTGAGGAGGTGTTCAAGAAATAGCTATTAAGTGACTGAAAGAGTAACACTGGGGGCACCTGCATGGCTCAGTTGGTTAAGCATCTGCCTTCAGCTCAGGTCATGATCCCGGGACCCTGGGAATGAGCCCTATTCCCTGCTCAGCTGGGAGTCTGCTTTTCCCTCTGTCCCCCCCACTGCTCTCTCTCTCTCTTAAATAAATACATAAAATCTTAAAAAAAAAAAAAACTGGGGCGCCTGGGTGGCTCAGATGGTTAAGCAACTGCCTTTGGCTCAGGTCGTGATCCCGGAGTCCTGGGATGGAGTCCCACATCGGGCTCCTGGCTCAGCGGGGAGCCTGCTTCTCCCTCTGACCTTCTTCCCTCTCATGCTCTCTATCTCTCATTCTCTCTCTCAAATAAATAAATAAAATCTTAAAAAAAAAAACTAACACTGCTAACTCTGGACAATATTGCTGGTTCTGTTTGAGGACTTGATACTATACATCTAAACCAGCTCGGAGAAAGGTTACATTTGTTTCCTAAAAACTAATGGTACTTTCTCATTTGTTAGCTCAGCTCTGTGTACTTGCATAGCATTTGTATGTGTTAATTGGTGTTTATTCTGCTCAGTTAACTCAGTGATTTAAAGAGGAAATTTGGGGAGACAACTACATAGGAATTTTTCAGACTAATTTACTATTTGTAAAAAAATGAAAACATATATAACTTTAAAAAGCATTCTGCATATTTAAAAAGGGGACTCAGAAAATGTTTAGCAAATTGATTTCCAGTGACTCCTCTAGGAGAGAAGTTGGGGAGGAAAATTTCTAAACCTTTCATCACATTACATACTTGTTCCTCCCCCGGGACTGGTGAGCACCAGAGAAGGATGTGGGGCTTCCATGCTTTTGTGAAGTGTAGCCACCGCAATGATTTTTCTTTTATGTATGCATAGCTTTGTGACATCTTCATCTGCTTTAACATCTTCTGCAGTTCTCTGTTTCACAGCAGCTCCAGGATCAAAATTAAACACCTGGAAAAAAAAATTCTCTGTTTAGAATGTCTATAAAAACATTAAATTAAAAAAAAATCTCCTTGTTATAAGAAAAGTTTTGCATAGATTAAGCAATAAATTTGAGTAAAACTGTCTCAAGTTTTTAAATTTAAGAAAATAATTTTATATATAGTGTAATAAATATTTCTGCTGAACTCTTGGTTTTTAGTGACAAAGTAGATAATGAAAATAAGACAACCAAGATAAATATATGGAAAGGTATAATACCTGATAATGTTTCCAATTTTAGATACTTCCTGATGTTACAACAGTACAAAAACAGATGAAGTACAGTTAAAAACCCGTAAGAGCTGACATTTCTACATGCTAACTTTGTCTTTGGCTTTATTTTATTACTATATTAATATTACTTTTTCATGGATTTAAAAAGACTATTACTCTATTTTTAAAAAATCTTATTACTTATTGTGTATACACTTATAGACTGTTTCAAATGCTTTTTGGGGGGTGAGTGAGGTGACACAAATAAAAGGAAAAAACTATTTATTAAACTTTAGTTCTAAGATTAGCACATAATATTCAGAGAACAATGACTATTCTATTCTAAAATATTTAATTATTTAAAATAACTGTATTTTTTACCTAGCAAAGGACTAAAACAGTTTTACTTTTGGCTCGGAGTGTTCAGCTTTGTGATTTTAGAAATATTTGTGGCAGATTTATCAACACCAGTGCAAAAAAGTCATATTGCAGATTGAGCAGTTATAGTAGGGGAAAAATACTATTAAACAGTGAGCATTGGTATAGCTCAAATAGAAGGGTGCTAAAAAGATTTCTGATGAAATATTTAATATGAATATACTTTGTCACCTTTGAACATGACTGGGACTTAACTATTTCCTGAAATTTTAAGCATTCCAGAATGCATGCAAAAGATATCTAATTAAAGACTTTTAAAATGCATATATGATTGGAGAAGTAATATAAAAATGAAATGCCAAATGAGAAAAGCAAATATATGAAACACCTAAAAAAATACAAAACTGCCAATAGATCTATTGTGAAATGGTTACCTTGGGAAGAATAAGAGGACATTCCAAGCCACATTTGCATGTTCCGTCAGTAAGCAGGTATGTTTTAACCTGCTCCAAGCAAGATAACAAAGACCCACTGGGACTGTAAAAATAGTTTAAAAAAACATCAGAAAATAATTCCGACTGTACATATTATATGAAAAAAGGCATAATTTATAGTCTTACTGTCCTTCACAAGATAACATTTTCTTACTAAAGAAAAACATTTGCTTTGTCAATATTATGTTATCTACTAAATTATAGCCTTTAACACTATCGCTCTTTCTTTTAACCAAACTATTTCTCAGAAAAATAGAGATTTTCATAGAAAATTAAATAAAAGTATTTTGAAAACCAAGAGTGGACTAAGGGGATGGGAAAAATGCTATTCTTAAAAAAGTACAGAAGCAGGCAAGAAAGGACGAAGAAAACTACATGAAAGTAGTTATTATTTTAAACTAGAAGATCTACCTTAAAGCTATTTGAGGAAAGACTGAAATTTAGGAACATGTTGGAAGTCAAACCAGAAAGTCACTAAGTCTACAAAAGTTGGAGCTAACATGTTCTTGCCTTTAGTCTTGGAGTCTAGAACCAAACTGCCCCAGTGTAAAAGCAGATTTCTCTTTTTTTTCCCAATCCATATGTTTCTTTGAAGATAGACAAGTGTGGCCCAACTCAAATTGTACTGAAGAACCATACCCATTGGTAAGGAAAGAGGAGCCATGCAGAACTGACAAAGGATGGGGAACTCCTTAAGAAAATAGGGTTTTACACGGCAGAAAAGTGCCTTGCAGGTCTTCTGGTTGGTAATTGGGGTAGTTCTCTCAATGTTACTACTCTGTGGGTCAAAAAGTCAGTATAATACATGAATACTGATCAAGTTTAAGCTTACAGATTAGGTACTAATTCAGATGACAGGATAAGTCTTTGATTTTTATTTGCAATGAGGGTTAGTTTAAAACGGGCTATCTGCACCTTAGGACTTTTACTATTAATATGTGGATTTTACAACTTAAATGCATATTATGCTTTGAAAATTATCATATATTTTTCATTCAAGAATATCTTTTATTTATGACTATTTACTGAAACCTTCACTTCAGCCTTCTGATTAAATTTATCCAGAAACTATACTCTCCATTTTGTATACAAAGCATTACTCTATTGGGGGCAGACTGCCTGTACAGAAACAGAGGTAATAGTTTTAGATCTATAAATAAACCAGCTTTTAAAATGCAATTCATATTTATGGACAATCATATAAGTGACTTCTGAATGTATAAAGTCTCAATTAAAATCCTCAACATTGTTTACTCATTCTTTTGTTTAGACTAACAATTTTTTACAGATGATATGCAAAAAATAATTCCCATGTTACAGATTGAGTTCCACCCCAGTGGTAGGGGCAACCAGATGATTTCGAAGGTCTGGTAATTTTTATAAAACAAGATTACCAACGAGTTGTCATATAAAGAATTCATGAATTTTGTGAAAAGAAACTGCCTAGCATTTTACAGTTAAAGAAAGCATACGGACTGAATCCTAGAGGAATTTAATTGTAAAATTAAACCTGAAGAAAAGAATTCCTGAATTCTATTAGAGTACTCTACTCTAGATACTTTAAAAACATTTCCTCTCAATCAGTCAGTTGAGTTCGTTCCTTCAGTTGTAGCTCTTTAATTAACTTTTGGGAGTAATAATTAATGTAAAAATTAGTTACAAGTCTTACGGCACAGATAAAGCTCAAAAGATTGGAAGCAGGTGGGAAATTTAATGTGCAGCCCCAATACCACCCCCAGGCAGGAGCAGCTGGAGACTAACCTAAAAATTACAAGCAAACTGCACATTGAGAAGGGAGCTACAGAAGGAGGGCTAGCCTCCTATATATGTTTAAGTAGTAATTTTACCAGTTTTATATACAAACAAATAAAAACCATGCTGACTTAATTTATTTGATGGTGCTTAACCTTATCTAGCAAAGTTTGTTTCCAAAATAATTCTTAGGGTATAGATCTGGGTTTGGAGGACTCACAGTAACAGATAATGAAGTCTACTTACACTTGGAAAATCATGAATGAACAAGATGAATGACAGATTCTTAGACTTAACTTGGTTTAACTTAGTTCTCAGCAATCTGAAAAGCTGACATATCTTTCATAGGGATGGAGATGAAGTAAAAAAAATAAATTATTAAGATTTTAGACTCATTTGCTCTAAGTTGAATATGTATTTGCTCCTTACAGGCTAGAATAACCATAAATATAAACAGTAACACTGATATCTTGCTATATTATACGTAGAGCAAAGTATTTTTAGCAGTTTTTAAACAACACTGGCAATAGGAACATTTCAAAAAAGTTATGCGTCCTTGTCTATCTTATCTACTGTGAGATGAGCTCCACATTCCCTGCTTTCTTTTCACTTCACTCCAATTAATATAGAGCACATCTTTACTATTACAGAAATAAAATACTTATGTGCAAAACAATTTCAATAGGCAATTAAGCTTCCCTCAAGAAACAACTTACACAAAGCAAACAGATCTGAGATGAAATCTGAACTGACTTTTGAGTTGTTAAGGTATGAAATCATTTGTATTTATATAATAGAAAAGATCTCATTTATATAAATACATCCTTGTACAAATAGAGAATTCCACTGCAGTGGGATACAAATAACCACACTGAAAGAAATAGCATTAATGTAATGTAATGTGGTTACATTACATTACATTAATTAATGTAATGATGCAATGTTGTATCTTTTAAAAAGTCCTAAGTCTGTTTCTGATAGTTTTTTTATTACACCACAAAGAAAGATTTATGTTATCATAACCTTTCATATACTTCCTGATAAACTACAAAATAAGTAACTTAGGTGGCATTTGTTTAATAAGAAGACTAAAACTTGGTTAAGCATTCAAGATGATAGTGTAGGAAAATCCTGAGCTCAACTCCTCCCATGGACATAATAAATCTACAACTACATATGGAATATTGCCCCTTAAAGACCGAGAAACTAGATGAACAGAGAGCCTCCACAACAAGGGGCAGCACTGAGATGGGTGGAAGAGGGAGAGATACAGTCTCAATAAGGAAAAAACCACACCCGAGGCATGAAGTTCCACAGTCAGGAGGGATCTCAAAGGTATGGAACTCCTCCCTAAAAAACAAGTGATTTAAGCTCCACATCAGGCAACCCAACCCTTAGATCTTGCACAGGAGGGGCAAGCCCCCAAAATAGCTGGCTTTGAAAACCAACAGAGAGTATGTCCAGAAAAACTACATATTTATAGGGAAAAAAAAAAAAACTGCTCTAAAGGGCTCAAGCACAGACTCGAAACTAGAGCAAAAACACAAGATTGAAAAGTGCATAGTCCACAGTGAAGAATACCTACTTACCAATCTTGGAGTGCCTGCTGGAGAGGCATGAGGTGGCAGGGCCTCTCCCCAAGGACTAAGACACTGGCGACAGTCATTTCTGCTACCTCATTCTGCCACGCTGATCCAAGCACTGGATCTATTTTGGAATCCTTCTACTAGATCACTAACGCCAAAGGTGTGCCTTGCTGAGAGCTCTACACAACCCTGCACCTCCACCAGGCCTTGCTGCCAATAAGACACTAATCTTGCCCACCAGCATGCCTGCAGCAGTTACCCCCAGGCCACAAGCCAACCAGGCCAGGGGTCAGCCCTGCCCAGCAGTACAACCACAGCAATTGTGGCCCCACCACAATAGGAGGGTACACAATGCCCATAAAAGGGATATCCCTGTAGCAGCTGAGTCCGGTGGTTAGGGAGGATTGCACTTTTGGCCCCATAGGACATCTTATATAAGGTCACTCTTTCAAGACCAGGAGTGGTAGCTGAACTGCCTAATACATAGAAACAAACACAGAGAGGTAGGCAAAATGAGGAGACAGAGGACTATGTTCAAAAGAAGAAGACAAAACCTCAAAAAAAAAAAAAAAGAACTTGCAAACAGAGATAAACAATCTATCTGATAAAGAGATCAAAGTTATGGTCATAAACATGCTTACTGAACTTGTGAGAACAATGGCTGAACAACACATTTAGAACTTCAACAAAGAGCTAGAAAATAAAAGAAAGTACCAATCAGAGCTGAAGAATACCATAACAGAAGTGAAAAATACACTAGAGGGAATAAACAGCAGATTAGATGATACAGAAAAATGGATCAGCAATCTGAAAGACAGGGTAATGGAAACAGCCTAAATTGAATGAGAAAAGAGAAAAAATAATTTAAACAAATGAGGACAGTTTAAGAAACCCCTGAAACAACATCAAGCATACTAACATCCACATTATATTTAGGGGTCACATAAGTAGAAGAAAGAGAGAAAGTGCTGGAAACTTATTTGAAAAAAATGATAGTTGAAAATGTCCTTGACCTGGGGAAGGAAAGAGACATCCAGGATCAGGAAGCACAGAGAGTCCCAAACAAGATGAATCTACAGATCTACACCAAGACACATTACAATTAAATGACAAAAATTAAAGATAAAGAGAGAATCCTTAAAAAAAGAAAAAAGAAAAAAGAAAAAAATTAGTTACATATTAGGGAATGCCCATAAGACTATGAGCTGATTTTTCAGCAGAAACTTTGTAGGCCAGAAGAGAGTGGCATGATAAATTCAAAGTGATGAAAGGAAAAACTTACAACCAAGGACACTTTACCCGGCAAAGTTATCAATCAGAATTGAAGGGGCAATAAAGAGTTTCCCAGACAAGCAAAAGCTAAAGGAGTTCATCACAACTAAATTGGCTTTACAAGAAATATTAAAGGGACTACTTTAAGTTGAAAAGAAAAGGTCATGACTAGAAATAAGAAAATATATGAAAGAAAAAAAAATCTCACTGGCAAAGGCAAACATACAGGAAAGGTAGTGATCAACTACTTATAATGCTAGTATGAAGGTTAAGAGACAAAAGTAGTAAAATCAATGATATCTGCAATAACTAAAAGATACACAAAATAAAAAGATGTAAAACATAACATCAAAAACATAAAATGTGGGTAAAGGGAAAGCAAAAATGTAGTGCTTTTAGAATGCTTTCAAACTTAGGCAACCACCAACTTAAAATAGATTGCTATATGTATAGGTTGTTATATATGAACCTCATGGTAACCAAAAACCAAAAACCTAAGATAGATACACAAAAAATAAAGGCAAAGGAATCCAAACATAAAACTAAAGAACATCATCAAATCACAAAGGAAGAGAGCAAGAGAAGAAAGGAACAGAGAAGAACTACAAAAACAACCAGAAAACAACAAAATGGCAATAAGTACACACTTATCAACAATTACTTTAAGTATAAATGGACTAAATGTTCCAATCAAAAGACACAGAGTGGCTGAATGGATTAAAAAAACAAAAACAAAAACAGAAACAAGACCCATCTGTATGCTGCCTATAAGAGACTTACTTCAGATCTAAGGACACACACACAGACTGAAATTGAAGATATGAAAAAAGATATTCTATGCAAACGGAAACAAAATCAAAGCTGGGGTAGTGATACTTATATCAAAAATAGACTTTATAACAAAGGCTGTAACAAGAGATAAAAAAAAGAAATCACAAAATGATAAAGGGATCAATTCAACAAGAAGATATAACATTTGCAAATATTTATGTACCCAACACAGTAGCACCTAAATATATAAAGCAAATATTAAGAGACACAAAGGGAGAAACTGACAGCAATACTATAATATTAGGGGGTTTTAACACCCCACTTACATCAATGGATAGATCATCCAGATAGAACATCAATAAGGAAACAGTGGCCTTAAATGACCCACTAGACCAGATCAACTTATAAGATATGTATAGAACATTCCATCTCAAGTGCAAATGGAGCATGATGTCAGGGTGCAGAATAAGTAAATTTAAGAGATTGAAATCATATAAACCATCTTTTCCAACCACAACAGTATAAAACAAATGTAAAATCAATTACAAGAAGACAAATTGAAAAAACACAAACACATGGAGACTAAACATCATGCTACTGAACAACAAATGGTCAATGAAGAAATCAAAGAAGAAATAAAAAAATATTTTGAGACAAATAAACACAACATTCCAAAATCTATAGGATGCAGCAAAAGCAGGGTTAGGAGGGACATTTATAGTGACACAGGCCCGCTTCAAGAAACAAGAAAAATCTCAAATAAATAATTTAATCCTACACCTAAAGGAACGAGGAAAAGAACAAATAAAACCCAAAGTTAGTAGAAAAAGGAAATAAACATTAGAGTGGAAATAAATGAAATAGAGACTAAAAATAAAAAAAAATAGAAAAGATCGATGAAACTAAGAGCTGCTTCTTTGAAAAGATAAACAAAATTGAAAACATTTAGCTAGACTCATCAAGAAAAAAAAAAGAGAGGACCCAAATGAACAAAATAAAGGAGAAAAGACCCTGAATAGCCAAGTCAATCTTGAGAAAGAACAAAGCTGGAGGTAATCACAATCCCCATTTTGAACTATACTACAAAGCTATTGTAATCAAAACAATATGGTACTAGCATAAAAACAGATACACAGGTCAATGGAACAGAACAGAGAGACCAGAATAAACCCATGGTTATATGGTCAATTAATCTACAACAAAGGAGGCAAGAGTGTACAATGGGGGAAAAGACAATCTCTTTAATAACTGTTGCTAGGAAAAGTGGACAGCTACACGCAAAAACAGTGAAACTGGACCACTTTCTTGCACCACACAGAAAAAATAAGCTCAAAAATTGAAGACTTGAATGGAAGATGTGAAACCATAGAACTCTTAAAAGAAAACATAAGCAGTAAGCTCTTCAACATCAGTCTTAGCAATATTTTTTTGGATCTCTCACGTCGGGCAAGGACAGCAAAAATAAAAATAAACAAAGGGACTATATCAAACTAAAAAGCTCTTTACACACTGAAATAAATCATCAACAAACAAAAAGACAAATATCCAATAAGGGGTTAACATCCAAAATATATAAAGAACTCATACAACTTAATATCAAAAAAACAAACAATCAGATTTAAAAAATCTACAGATGACCTGAATGGACATTTTTCCAAAGAGGACATAGAGATGGCCAACAGGCACATGAAAAAATGCTCAACATCATATCTATAGGGAAATGCAACGAGATATCTCCTCACAGGTGTCAAAATGGCTGTCATTAAAAAGATAAGAAATAACACGTATTGGTCAGGATGTAGAGAAAAAGGAACCCTGTGCACTGTTGGTATGAATGTAAATTGGAGCAGCAAGTTTGGAAAACAGTATGGAGCTTCCTCAAAAAATTAAAAATAGAAATACCATATGATCCAGTAATTCCACTTCTAGGCATTTAACCAAAGAAAATGAAAACACTCATTCAAAAAGACATTTGCACTTCTTGTTCATCACAGCATTATTTGTAATAGCCAAGACATGGAAGCCCCCTAGATGTTCATAGATAGATGAATGCACAAAAGAGATATGGTACACACACACAGACACATACACAAACACACTGGAATATTACTCAGTGATTAAAAAGTATGAGATCTTGCCATGTGTGACAACATGGATGAATGGAGTGGGTAGTACGCTAAGCAAAATATGTCAGACAGAGAATGACAAATACTATATAACTTCATTTATATGTGGAACCTAAAGAACAAAACAAATGAATAAACAAACAAAATAGAAACAGACCACAGATATAGAAAACAAACTGGTGGCTGACAGAGGGGAGATGGGTAGAGGGATGGACAAAATTCATGAAGGGGATTAAGAGGTACAGTCTTCCAGTTATAAAATAAGTAAGACACAGAGATGTAATGGACAGCATAGGGAATAGTCAGTAATTATTAAATAATTTGTATGATGATAGATGGTAACTAGACTTATTGAGATGACCATTTTATAATGTATACAAATACTGAATCGCTATGTTGTACTAATAAAACTAATGCAATATTATAGGTCAGTTAAAAAAAACCCTGAAATTTCTTGTCAACAGTTCAGTTTTTCCATTCAACTTGTACACAAGATATATGTTACCAAAATTAAAAAGAGCAGGCATTTGCATTTTATTTGTATGATTTTTACTTGTGAGAGGAACAGCCATCTCCGTCATGATTTTTTCTTTGTTACTATTATATGCAATGGAATAGATTAAAAACTGCACAGAAAAAATTGGGAAATTATTTTTCATTAATATCAGGAATTAAGAAGACTCATAACTGAAACTGCCTATAGATAAAAACACTCAGCCTTACATCAGAAAAGCCATATGAAGCACTAGAAGGATAGGATAATACTGTCAAGAGATATCAGGTCTCTTTCCAGTATTTTACATTCTCCTGTGAACGTGGTAATGATGCTTATATGTTCCTTTTAGAAATCTTCATATTTTTCTTTATCCTTGTTACGGAGATAAGCGGAATGACACCTTATATAAACACAAGTAATGCATAAAAAAATCTCTCTTGTAACCTAAGGCAATTTACATTGCAAAACAGTACAGAACGAAACACTTGAGTATTTCTAGCATGAAGGTCATTTACTCAAATTTATGTGAAATGCTGTCAGTGATGGTATGTTGCTCCCTCAAAGGAACAGTCTCTACCTCCTTAATTACAGGATTGCACACTTGGAGGTGACAAAGGTAATAAGGTGGCTCACCTGACATAAAGCACTCCATTTTGATCCACACGACGCTGCCAACCCACAGGAACTTGTATAGCTGGAAGACCTCCATCTTTGTCCCCTCCGTCACAGTCCTTGCCTCCATTCATTTTCTGTGTCTGCTTGGGACTCTCCAAAGATATCAGCAATAAGATGATATCCTTATATTACAGGGCATGATGGCCTTCAAAAATGGCCAATGCAGCACAGTTTTTCCCAGACTGTACAAAATGCATTGGGAAGCTTCGGCTCAGTTTGGAACCAAGTCCTTGAAATCTGCCATTGTGGAAAAAATCAGTTTCCCATTATAATCTATAAATAAACAATATTTAATTCCTAAGGATGGTCTACATGGGTAAAAATGAGTGCCTCTGACTAAGGAAAATCATATTCACCAATGCTGGTACCTGCCTGAATTGGGGGAGGGGAGGAGTATAAAGTTTTTAGTTCAACATTTTGTCTTGAACCTTGATGTCAGACTAAAATAACCTCTATGGTCTAGAGAATGGTCTCATTTTTACAGTGTGAGTCGGTTAATATTTCCAGGTACTACCCGCCTTTAGAGGCCACATTCTTTAAATTTTTTCTTCATCTTCCAATCTGAATCCAAGATGTTGTAGGTTGGTTCATCTGATGTTTTCATGTCTTCAAAATTCCAACAATGTAGCCTGAAACATATGTAAATGTATAAACTTTATATTTAATATTGAAAACTGAGAAGCTGCACACATTTAAAAATAGAATAAACTGCTAAGTGCACCAAACCACTTTGATGTTCTCTGCCATCAAAATCACATGTCAAATTTGTCTTGTTTTCTTCTTCCAACTTGATCCACTTACTCCAGTTAACCAATTTGTTTGCTCTTCACCATGTGTAACTTTCTAATTATTAGAGATAGACATAATAGTGGCATTTCACACACACACACACACACACACACACACACCCTCCTTCTTACAATAAAAATGCATCTATCACCTCTTATGTTCTGACAACTGGAAAGTTTTATAAAATCCAGTTACATTTTATCACTCTTTAATTGTATATGCCCTTATGATTTACTTTTCTTTTCTAATCATCATATTGGCCTAAAGAAGAAAAGGTGTTTTTTTTAAGAAAAAACTAAAAGAAAATATACAGTATATTTCCAAGTACAAGAGATTTCCCCCCACTGTTCTTGAATATAAGAGTGGGAGTTGCTTTATAGTTAAGATTTACAAATTCCTGTCTATTATGGGGTACTCTCTTAATTCCTTTATTAAGTCACAAGGTGCTGCTTGGGGAAAATATACTGGCTTGAGACACCAGCAATCAGTGCTACTGTGGAAAGCTTGAAAGAAGTCATCTTAATGGAATTGTTAAGTAAAAAGAGATGGCAAATAAAATTTTTAAGATTTAGTGCTTACTCCTAATGGAGAATGTGATGTAACAGTTGCTAGCCTTATTTCTGGTGGTATACAAGACTTTCTATAATCAATTTAATATGTAGTGTGTAATTACATTGTGGGACTCATGAAACTATACTAAAGGATGAATAAAAAAATCATTCTAGTGTTATATGAGTGGGACATGTGGCTTGGGATAAAATGTCCAGTGACAGCATTATCCACAGATTCAAAAATGCTATACTCAAACAACTTAACTAAAGGTGAAGATGACATGCTCTGGAAGACTGTGTTAAAGGACTTAAAATTCATATGAAAATATTAAAATGGTTTCAAAAGTTAAAAAAAGATTTATATTTTAGTTGTTTAAAATATGTATGCATAACTTAACACATTAAACAGTGTAAATAGACACATAACTACTTTATCTACATTCCTAAAAGCCTACAATTTAAGTTAGCCCCAAACATTTTTGGGCCTATCTTTATTGAGAAAACAGGAGAATGCCTTATATTAAAAGGCATCATGTATTCAGGCATATGCTGTATTTGCAGCCTGGACTCTGAGACAGATAAATGTCATTTAGCTGAAAGTACAAACCTTGTGCATGGGTGTTGTAAACATCAACAAGCAATGGGAAAAGTAGCACAAATTTATTGGGAAAAATGTGGGGTATAAAGAAAAGTGCCCAGTAGTATCATTCCCAATGTGTCTCAAGCTGCTAACTTAACATTGTTGGGGCCACTCCATTGTGTCTATGCTTCTCACAGAAATGACCCACTTGTCTCCCATTCACTGCACCTTAACCATGACCCCTGCTGATCATGTATGTGTTTATTCATGTTTTATTTGACAGTCAGCAGCTACTAGGTACAGGGTACTATGCTGTGGCTGAAGTACAAAGATAGGAGGCACCTCTTTATCCATAGCCCAGTGTAATGTTTGGCATTAAAGAGCTGTTCCGTGTGGAAGAATATAAAGAAAAGAGGGAGGAAGGATAAGAAAGGATGGAGAGAGCAAGGAAGGGTCAGTCCTGCCCAGTGGAGTTCCCAGTGCTAATGAAAGATGGGAAAGAGACATGAATTTCATACCATCCTGGACTCCCAGTTTTGTCAAATAGTAACAGACCCAGATTATTGAACCTGCTTTTTTTAAATAGTCCTTTTTCATGCTCATTTTATTACCCTGCTTTTCCCAATAAAATGCCTTCAGTGGTCTGTGATCATTAGATTGGACCAGCTCTCATTCTCCCTACTTTTGAGCTTTCTGATCATTTGATGCCTATTTTCTTTTTTCTTTCTTTTTTCCTTCCTTCTTTTTTTTTTTTTTTTTTCTCTGTTTGTTTGCCTGCTTTTGTATGTGACTCCAACTTCCCTGAGACAGGCTGGCTCAGTCCATTAACTAATTTGTGGATCTGCCAGATAATAACACTGGATTGATTCCTGCCAAATATGTCTCTCTCATATTTCAGTAATGAAAAATACAAATATCTGATGGCTGGGTTTTGCTTAGACCAGCAGTTCTCAAAGCATGGTCCTGGGACAAACATCATTATTGTCAATAATGCCCAGGAACTTGTCGGAAATACAAATGCAAAGGCCTGGCCCCAGACTTAATGAATTAGAAACTCTAGGGGTCACTCTGTTCTTTAAGAAACCCTCCAGGTGTTTCTGATGCATGCTCAAGTTTGAGACCCACTGGCTTAGACTAATGCCCCTGCCTCCTTCCCAGGACATGGCAGTTTTATATCTCCACACTATGCAGGCAGCCAGCCCTCTACTCCCTTTTGGCCCTGGGAGGGTCATCCTTTTTTTGCTGATACTTCAGCCTTTTAGAAGCAGCTCAATTGCAAGGGCCTTAGGGACTCCTCACAGAGCAAGGTCCAGTAACTACACAGTTCTCATTTATTTATCTGCAAGTGGCCCTGATTTTCTCAACATTCATTTTGTGAATTTGGAAAATTCAGAGATGTTTGAAGGTGAAATTAAAATTGAACTGTAATCTCACTGTTGAATAATAACCACTGCAAACCTGAACATACTTTCTTTCAATCATTGTTTTTAGAAAGTTTTAAAAGCACACTTTAAAAAAGAATTTGTAATAACAAACAATAAACCACCACTCCAAATTCACAATGTAAGCATTTTATCAGTTTTGCTTATTTTTAAAAATAAAGCACTATTACAGATAGAGTTAAATACTATCTTCCTCCCCTACCCCATCTTTCTTTAGTCCTATTTCCTTCTCTTCACCTTAAAGGCAACCACCATTATGAATCTGGTCCTCATTCTTCTAGGCTATGCATTTATAGGTATATTCCCTATGTGTATACGTAAACAATATCTGGTATTGCTATATGCATTTTAAAATTTTTATATAAACACTATTATACATATATATCATTCTGCAACTTGCTTTTTAAAATCCAACACTGTTTGAAAGCTATCTCAGTTGAGATACATAGATTTATCTCTGTTGCAGATATATAGATCGAATTTGTTAATTTTTAACATCTGAATGGTATTGTGTCATATGATTATAGAACTATTCATCTATTGGTATATTTATCATATTAATGTTAGATTGTGGCGTCTGCACATTCTCAACTTTTCAGATACTGCCAAATTGCTCTCCAAAGTTGCACTGATTCCAAGTTTTTTCCATGTTATAAATGCATCTTTTTCCTTTAAATACTGAATCATTACCACTTTATACTTTATTTTCATCCTGAGCATTTTACTATGGCATTAAATATTTTTTCCAAAATATGACTTTGAATTGCTGGATAGAATTTTTGGGTCTATATCTATATATCTATAATTTATTTACTTCCCTTTTGTGAACATAGATTTTCTCCTGAATTTTCACAACTACAAGTAAATCTGAGATAAATATATCTATCTGTACATAAATCAATAGCCATTTTGCTAATTTACTGAGAATTATTTGCTAAAACAGAGGTGCATAATTTTAAGACCCTTGACAAATTTCTTAAAGTGACAAAAGGGTAGTTTTGGGAAAGCACTTCAGGCCATAGTTTTCAAACTTTTGAAACCCCTGTATGTCCTCTTCTGCTAAATATGAAAATCTTCTCTTTGCCTCTAAGATTCTGATAATTTTATCACTTACATGGACCCATCATTCAAGATTTAGTCAAGCTTTATTTTTATAGTTGATATTATAAAAACAATAGTTTCTCCTCTCTTCTTAATTTAACATAGGAAATTACATATCCACAACATTTTTCCTTCATCTCCCCTGGAAATTCCATTATGACCTTGTTTATATGGCTTGGTTTAAACCTAATAGACACAGGTTAAAACAGAAAAGATATCATGATATGAAAGGTACCTCCATCTCACTAACACTCAGGATCAAGGATCGATTTTACACTTAGGACAGGATTTAAATTTATTTCACAAACAATTCTGGCAGCAACAATAATATAATTCAAAAAGTGATGTGTGTGTGTGTGTGTGTGCACGTTCTGAGGAGATTTACCACAATTTTACCAACATTTTTATTTTCCTACTTCCTTTCAATATGTAAATTAGTCTGAGAATTGGCTTTTGGTGAACTGAATTTAGTGGCTAGATTTACTTCTTTGCATTGGCTTCTTCTGACCATTCGGAATTCAAATTAGATGTCACGTCCTGGAAGAGACTATACTATATACCATAGGTAATCTCTCAGACTTTAAGTCACTGATACCTCTTGTCATCCATTTGTTTGTTATCATTTATTTGTTTGTTTATTGGCTATCTCTTCCCAGAGGAATGTAAACTCCCTCACAGCAGGGACGTGTCTCTCTAGGTCCTTCCTATCTCTATTCCTAGTTCCTGGTAGTGCCTGGCCTGCAGTAGGTGCTTAAGTGCTTCCTGAAGACTATGCATATTCTAATTAGTCAACATAGTTTTATATTCTGATTTTTGCCATGTAGGCTTAGTAAGATTTTTTAGCAATACATGCATCTAAAATGAAAGAGATTTTTAAAAGAGGCTAGAAGAAGCCAATGAGTATTAATGTTGACAAAATATACAAAAGATTTTTTGCTCTAGATCTGTCCCTGATGATCTCATAGTCTCTGAGTGATAATTTCTGTGTAGAAAGTATGATAGGGCTTTTAAGAAAATTAACAAACTGACTTTATGCTTTATTTGTAAAGTGCATCAGTTTTATTTATGAAGTAGTTTATATACACATTTTAATTGGATTAATAAAGAAACCATTAAATGAATCCAACAATATAAAAATTAAACTTTTATTTCAATAGGATGCTAAT